GAAATATACACTTGTCAGTCGTGGAAAAAAAACATTATCATGGTTTCCACAAAAATATGAAGCAGCACAACTGTTTTCAACATTGATAATAATTAGACATGTTTCTTGAGCACCAAATCAGCATATTAAAGTGATTTCTGAAGGATCATGTGACACTGAAGACTGGAGTAATGATGCTGAAAATTTAGCTTTGCAATCACAGGAATAAACTACATTTTAAAATATATTAAAATAAAAAACAACACAATATTTCACAGTATTACTGCTTTTTACTGTATGTTTTTTAAATAAATGCAGCCTTGGTGAGCATAGGAGACTTCTTTCCAAAACATTTTTTAAATCTTTTAAAAATACATTTTTATGTGAATTTTTTATAATATTTATAGTAACTATTTTATAAAAGAAAAGTCTTTGTTTCCTTTAATAAACAATATTTTTTATATTTTTAAATTATTTTAATTAAATACTATGTAAGTAAAATATTTTAGTAAATTTTATGTAAAATAAGTGTTTTTGTTCAATAAATCTTTTTATTTTGGGGGTAAATATTTAGTAAATATTGCGTAATATCAGTGATTCATTTGAGCAGCTTTGTGAACTTGTCATTACATTGTATTATGTGTAAACTGTATTATGTATTTCATGTCAGGTGGTTCTTGGCCTATATATATATATATATATATATATATATATATATATATATTAGTATTTTTGTGTATTCGTTCGTTTAATGGCCTGCTCCTATATCAGCGCTCCCTCCCCCTCTCGTGCCCGTAGGAAATGCGCCCTGCTTTTCTTTAGCATGCTAACTGCAAAAATACACAAACAGACAAGTCCTATCCACCTGTCTGTCCTCGCTTGGCCCTACTCTCCCTGCACTTGTGGGCCTGAAGGGCTTTGTGTTGTTTTGCTGCCAGGATGATCAATGGCTTGTTTGTGATAGTGGGGAGAGATGGCCCGGACCACACAGCCGCAGCGAGCGGGGGGAGGTTAAGGAGGAGCACTGGGCCGGTTGGGGAAAGCTGCGGCCTGCACCTGTTGCTGAGTGTTGCTGGGCCAGAGGGGCGGTCGGACGTCACGTGGGCTCCGCTTCACAGGAAGCCGAGGCTCGTTTCTCAACCTTCTCATGACACCGTACCTCCTCCTCCTTCCCTTCATAGCTGCAGCCTGGGCTTGTGCCACCAGTCAGGAAAAGGAAAACAAAGCTGGTTTTACCTTAAAGTGACACTCTAGTAACTTTGCTCATTTGGAGTGAGATATTATCATCCACCTCTGACTAAACTAATGAGCTTGATCCTTATTAAACATTGGCATTTTGTTAAAAACAAGGATTGGTCTATCAATATAATTGCCTTTTTTTGGAAAACAGTTTAAAAGTTTTATTCAGCAAGAATGGATTAAATGGTATATAAAGACGTTTAATGTTAAAACAGATTTCTTTTTCAAATAAATGCTTTTATTTTGAAATATACACTTGTCAGTCGTGGAAAAAAAACATTATCATGGTTTCCACAAAAATATGAAGCAGCACAACTGTTTTCAACATTGATAATAATTAGACATGTTTCTTGAGCACCAAATCAGCATATTAAAGTGATTTCTGAAGGATCATGTGACACTGAAGACTGGAGTAATGATGCTGAAAATTTAGCTTTGCAATCACAGGAATAAACTACATTTTAAAATATATTAAAATAAAAAACAACACAATATTTCACAGTATTACTGCTTTTTACTGTATGTTTTTTAAATAAATGCAGCCTTGGTGAGCATAGGAGACTTCTTTCCAAAACATTTTTTAAATCTTTTAAAAATACATTTTTATGTGAATTTTTTATAATATTTATAGTAACTATTTTATAAAAGAAAAGTCTTTGTTTCCTTTAATAAACAATATTTTTTATATTTTTAAATTATTTTAATTAAATACTATGTAAGTAAAATATTTTAGTAAATTTTATGTAAAATAAGTGTTTTTGTTCAATAAATCTTTTTATTTTGGGGGTAAATATTTAGTAAATATTGCGTAATATCAGTGATTCATTTGAGCAGCTTTGTGAACTTGTCATTACATTGTATTATGTGTAAACTGTATTATGTATTTCATGTCAGGTGGTTCTTGGCCTATATATATATATATATATATATATATATATATATGGCCAGACATTGGTAACAGTGCCCTTTAGATATCATGACGGCACCAGTGAAAAACCTTCATTGGTTGACCACTAATCGTTTACACAGTGTTCTAACCTGATATAAAATGATAAATGAGTGATAAAACCCCTTCCATGTAAATCTTTTTGTTTTGGTTCTCTTATAAATTTTGTTCCAACCACATCTTGTCTACGTCACTTCTACAGCACTGCTCAGCCCATCCACAGTGAAATCTCATTGGTCCTGAATCCCCCTCTATAGCAGAACATAAAATATTGTGTTGCATCATGTAGCATTGTCGCTTTTGGTGTGAACAGGCAAATTACTGGTCACCTGGTAAGGACACTGTGTTCAGAAAAAAACAGTTCACAAGTAAAACTCACTTGTCATGTTGAATACTGAGGCTCAGTCCACTACAACTAGCTCAAGTTCTTGTGACATCCTTGTGTATGGTTTAAAAGTGTGACCAGTCTGACTCCACGAGCCTGTCCAGGATTTGAAGTAGCAAATTTGCTCAGTCCATTACTCCTGCGGAACATGAGCTGCTGCATGCCTGGGATGACTGAAAGCCTGGGCTGATGATGTCATGTGTCAACCCTCCTGACTCATCATTTGTCTAATTGAACTTTGAATCATGGGACAGGGAGAGGCCTTCTCCCTCCCTTAACTGTCTGAAGCCACATTCCGCTATAATCCTTAACTATTACAGGCTAATACTACAGCACACGATCACACCACCCCAGAGGGCATGATCGTTCACACACGCCACGCTACTGCCAACTACTCGCCAAAAACTTGCCCACTGTGGTTCCTTAATCACATACGCTCACGCAGCCTCACCACGTTGGTGCATCGCTGCACCCTGCACGCTTCTTGACTCATAATCGCACAGGGATAGTTTCGGCTCGGCCCACACAGAATCTGACCCGCTGGATTCAAACGCCCATGATTTGATAATCTTTCAGATTTGTCAGAGGAGCCTAGCGGTTGGCACGCATGCTCCGACACAAATAGGGAGCAGGTTGTTTTTTTAGTATATCAAAAACATACGGCACAACTAATCTAGTCCAATTCCCGAATGAATAGCTTTTATAAGCTTTTTTTTTTTAAGTGAATCAAAACTGTAGAGCGCAGAAAATGTGCACTCATTTTTGAATAAATTACTCTTATAAGATGGATCTTTGTAGTGAATCAAACACAGACACTACAGTTCAAAAGTTTAGGATCAGTACTTTTATTAAAAAAAATAATAATACTGCATCAAGGATGCTTTAATTTATTTAAAAATGACAGTAAAGACTTTTAAATTTAAATATTAAGCAGTACAACTGTTTTCAACATTGATAATAATAAGACATTTTTCTTGAGCACCAAATCAGCATATTAGAATGATTTCTTAAGGATGAAAACTGTACTAATGTCTCCTAAACAATTTTGCTTTTTAAAATATATTTAAACAGAAAGCATTTTACAGAAAATATTTGTATTTTTTATTATTTAAATGTAATTATTAATTTAATTAATTTCATTATTTCAGTATTTTTTTACATTTAATTTTTTATTATAATTCACAATATTATTATATTTTGAGCATAAGAGACATCTTTAAAAAAACATTCAAAAATCTTACTGACCCCAAAAATGTTTACAGTAGTGTGAAATTAAGTGTGAAACTTAAATCTGCATACTTGTGTAGTTATTTAGCATGTATTTTTTCTTTTCTTAATTTTTTATTGTATAATGTTAATTATTCATTGTTAATTTATATTAAATGATATCAGATTATATTTATTAGTATATTTAATTTTTATTAAATTTATTATTTTTAAAGGTTATTATTAAAATAATCTCTTCATTTCGCAGTGAATTTGTTTTTATTTCCTTTTTTTGTAAATAAATATATCTCTTTAGGGGTTTTTGGGTACTAGCCATGATGTTGCTATGCAGTGTTCTGAGTGATTTTTAGCATGTTGCTATGCAATTTATGGGATGTTCCGAGATGTTGCCCACTTTCGAGTCTTTGTGATATTCTGGTCCCTACATATGACTCAGATTCTTCCTTCAATGAAGGTCTGATCACTTAAAGTAATAGCACACCTCGTTTCCGTTTGGCTCCAGTTATGGCTGAGAGCTTTCAATCCTTGCCCATCGTCTTCCTCCATCTCTCGCCCGACACCTTCACCTCCATCAGCTATACAGTCAGCCCTGACAATACGTCATCCCTTTTTAAATGGTGAATCACCAGCCATAGTTCACATCTGTTCTCGGCTCAAATAGCCTAACCAGTGAAAACAAGCAATTACCGGTGGGCTTTTTCAATCAACTCTTTGGCGAGTCGGCTGGGGGGCTTGGAATGGGGGGAAGGTGGGCGGAGGAGATAATTAGACACGGTTAAAAATATCCCAGCACATTGTCTCCGCTGTCCCACATCCTCAGATAAGTGTGCGCCTATTGGCGCAAGGATCATGTGCTACTGGGAGGAATGTTTTGCATGTTTGCGACGTGCAGTTGAACGGCCGCTGAGGATCACATGACGTGCTTATAGGAAGCTGTTTGTATGTTTTGACTGCTTCTGAAAACAGGATGAAAATGTTCAGAGTTGGCCATGTTCCTAAATCATGTTCATTCTCACACTTTCTACAGCGTTTTCACATTTGTTTGGTAATGGTTGAACAATATGGGTTTTTAGCATTTTACTTGTGGTCTTTCCAAACATTAAAATACGGATTACATATTAGTTTGTTTCTGCCTGTCTCTGAATATGTATGTATAAAGTTTGGTCAAATAGATTAGATACTCAGACTACAGTATACTGATCATGCCATTTCCTGTTTCTGCAGCCCTCACTTCCTGTCCTGTACACTCTGTCCAGTCAAGCAACCCATGAGGCCGTTCACCTCCTCTGCAGGATGTTGGTCTTTGACCCTGTAAGTGTTCTATAACACTATATAAAATTATATAAAATAGATCATTTTATTGCATTTTTAAAAGAAACGTTCAGTCAGAACCAATCTGTTTTCCAATACAGTCGAAGCGGATCTCTGCAAAGGACGCCCTGGCGCACCCGTATCTGGACGAGGGGCGTCTGCGGTACCACACCTGCATGTGCAAATGCTGCTACACCACGTCCTCTGGCCGCGTCTACACCAGTGACTTTGAGCCTGTCACCAACCCCAAGTTTGACGACGGCTTTGAGAAGAACCTGACGTCAGTTCGGCAGGTCAAAGGTGAGCTTGCTTGTAATCAATTCATATGTACTACACCTTGTGCTGATTGCAGCACACATTATACAACACGTGAGACAAACATCGGTGGTCTATTCATTTAACCTTGAGTCCTGATCCACCCCCAGTTTGTAGACAACATGTTTAGGAGCTAAAGGTCTTAATTGAATTGAATCTATCTGAGAGCAGCGCGTGTTAATCAGAAGTCTTGCTGGGCATCTTCTGCTTCAGATCCCCTGCTGCTCCTGTTGTTTTTGTCCCTTGTTTTCACCCTTCATTCGGGGCCCCTGGATCTGTGCTTGCCTTCCACTGTCAGTGGGTATTAGTGAGAGTCTGTCGCTAAAAGCAGGCTTACTGTGCTGTCAGCTCAAAATAACTCTGCCCTTCACCCTCCCTCCTCTTCCTCCATCCTGTGTGCAACGTGTTTCCACTGGAGGATTAGTCAGTGCAGATGGAGCCGACCGCCTGGAGACTTAAAGCGATTTAGGGAGGCAGCGGCGTTTGGAACGCGAGGGGAACCCCTTTTGGATCCACACATGAGGAGTTTCCATGTTGGCCGAGCTAGTTTTAAGCTAAATCGCTTGTATGCTAAAATAAAGAGTTTAGAGCTTTAGAAGATATTACAGATAGTACAGTCTGCCTGTAGAATCTTCCTTTAGAATCGACTGTTTGACCTGTAAGGTTGCTGCTAGAATAAATCTTTATTCAGTGATTCAATCATAATTTAGATTTGTCCTGAAAATACAAAATTCTAGTTCTAGATGAAAGTCTGTGAGTCACATCACTTCATCTTTTTTTGTTACAAGGAATGATGACAGAATTGTGTGAACTACCGAATGCCTTTAACTAGTTAACAGGTTTGACTTGCTGTCTACCTGTTAATTAGATTGACCTAAAAATAAAAATGTTGTCATCATTTTCTCACCCTCATGTCATTTGAAACCTGTATTTTATTTAACATGAACACAGGAGAAATGTTTGAATTGTTTTGTGAACTGTTCTTTTAACCATGATAGCACATAACTTGTAAACCGTTATTCATAGCTGTAAACTGTAATTTATTTCTCATCATCTCTCCTCTTTCTTCCCCACACAGAGATCATTCATCAGTTCATCCTGGAGCAGCAGAAGGGGAATCGGGTACCGCTTTGTATCAACCCCCAATCAGCTGCCTTCAAAAGCTTTATCAGGTGAGGCCGCCCTCCGCTTTACATCATCTTCTTCTTTCTTCTGCTTATGTCCGAATATCATGATCAAGTGTCCAGGTTATATTTAACTCTGAAAAAGTAGCATAAAGAAATATGACCTGTATTTAGGTCCATTAAGATTTTTGCATTGTGATATTTTTTCATCACAAAAATTCTCATCACTGTAATGTGAAATTCTATCTCTAAAATCAGCATAAATTTAATTCAGTACAAGTATGACAGCTAGTATGTATACATACTTTATCATTTAAATAATATTTAAATCATTTAGATGTTTATTTATTCGGGTAATTAATATTATTATTTTACATTTCAGAAGTGAGAATGAGATTTTTAACATTACAAAAGCTACTGACAATTGTGGCAGGGGTTTAAATGTGATCAATTTTTTTTTCAAATAATGTTGTAATGCTAAAAAAGTATTGGTCCTACATGCTTTTTTTTTTTTTTTTTTTTTTTTTTAATTAAATAAGAGCCAGAAAGTGGTTGACAGATTTTGAGATTCACCCTCATGTCCATGTTCTCATCCTCATGGTTAACAGACATGCCAAATCAAATCCAGTGAGCATGACTGTCATTTTTTTAAGGGGAACCATGTTTTGGAAGTGCTTTGGGTTGAAGGCAACATGCCATTGTTTAATATTTAGGCAAACGTTTTTACATAAAAGAGTGTTTAATGTTGTTTCTAACCGTTATTGCTTACAACCAGAGCCTGGTAGATTGCTTACAAATTGTAGTCTGTTACTGATTCCAAATTACATGACAAAAACTGTAGTTAGTAACGTAATCCATTATATTACACATTTTAGGTAGTGTAATCAGACTACTTTTAGATTACTTTTGACCTAACTAGTTTATCACATCAATTTAAATTAGGGCTGGGAAAAAAATATCGATATCTCGATATTAATCGATTCTCGTTTTTACGGAACGATATCAATTCTTAAATCCCAAGAATCGATTAGTCTAGCCTGTTTTCAGTTAATGGACGGAACATTGAAGGGTACTTCCCATCCAATCGCAATAAGCAGGGATGGGTAAAAAAATACTGATATCTCGATATTAATTGATTCTCATTTTTACGGAACGATATTAGTCTAGCCTGTTTTCAGTTAATGGACGGAACATTGAAGGGTACTTCCCATCCAATAAATCGCAATAAGCCTTGTGCTTTGGTACTGTTAATATGAAACAAAGTCTCAGATTTCAAATTCTGTCCATTGTATTGCAGTATTTAAACGATAAATGCCGTTTTGGCGCTGTTTAATGTGAAGTGACAGATAGCTGTTGCGCCTCAGTTCAACAGACGCGGCAGCGCAAGGCGCACGTGAAATGATCATCTCCACATTAATACCAGTTTCAGCACAAAATAAGCATGACTAAACATCCGAAGGTAAGTTAAAAGAAACAGTAGAAATTTACAATCCGTATCCTGTCTCATGTAATCGCTCAATCAGTGTTTCAGCTGCGCAAAGACGTCAATACAATGGCTTGTAAACAATATTACTTAAGTCACATTTACCTCAGAAAAAAAAACATATTCGGTGACCATAAACTCATTAGTCATATAGAAAAATAAACTGTTTAGAGGGGTATTCTGCTTAATATATGCACCATATAACATATTCATTATATTTTTTTACTGTTCTTCACTGTTTAATTTATGTTTGAATAAATCCATCAAGTTTTTATGACAGCCACCATTTAAATGTTTATATTTCAAAAAAACGAACTGAAGTAGAAATATTATTATGTAACTTTATTATTGTAAAAACTTCATTAATTTTAACCTTCAAAATTATAGTAATGTAGTAGCCTACCAGCTGACTCTCGTGTATATTTTACAGCATTAGTTGAGAGATTTTTTTTTCCTTGAGAAAATTTGGCATGTACTGTAACTTACCTGATATATATCCAAAATAATCGAATCGAA